GTTAAATCCCACACTTGATAGTGACCTGGCTTGAAGTTGGCCTCTAAGTGTTGTTCACCACATCCCTATGAAATTCCTGATGATGACCTGTCAAGTCTTGTTGACCTATTGTTCAAAGCATTCTAGGATCAATGTGTTAGGCACTGAGTCACAGGCTTTCTTCTTGTAGTCAGTCCAGGTGGTGCAAAGGTTGGTCAATCTGGTTTTGCAGTATTGAGTGACATCTCCATCAATCAGTAGCTGGTGTTATTTTTCTTGGTGCTTGTTTACCCATTCTCTGAGGGTGGGGATGACAGTATCTCCCCTCTGACCTGACGTCCTGGCTACCCCTTTCCTATAGAGTTTGTGTTGTACCTTGTCAATCTGTAATCACCATTATATATCTTTTGGAGCAGTATATGCAGTCATGCATTTTCTTTAAGGAAAACCTGTCTTATAATTTCTGATGTTTATTTTGGAAGTGTAAAATTAAAATAAAAAACAGCTAAATAACAATATAAAACTTCCCTACATTACCATAAGTTACCTGAAAAAGGTAAGCTTATAATGCTAACCATGTTAACAATATGGCTGCTGAAACTTGAAAGAAGTCCAAAAAACCCCAATAACAATACATATACAATACAAACTGGAATTAACTCTCCCATTCTCTTCATACCAGTGCCTCTGCCTAATTATTCTATCCATGCACTTCCTCTAAACCAGAGGGTCCTGAAATGTTCTGCACTGGATAAAAACAAATAACACGTGCTACCTCCAGTGCATCCAGAACATTATCTGATGGGACAAAGTGCCAAACATCACAATCCTAGAAATAATGCACATGTACACCCAGCCAAAAAGACACACATGTGTGGTTACATGGTGTGAATAGAGAGTATCTGGATCCCCTAGGCTCTCCTCTGAAGAAAAGTTGATCTGGTAATAAAATCCCAAAGACAGACCCCAACTGCACTGTGGAGATGGCTGTAATACCAGAAGGCTCTGAGCATTGTACCTGGGAAGCTGTGGCCCAGCAAGGACAACTCAAAAAGCCTCTCCAAGTTAGAAAAGACACTAGTCATGTGAGGCAAAGAGACACACAACAAATTCAGCTGTAAACTGCTGAATTCTTCCACAAAAATTACTATAACATGAAATCAAAGTAAAATCCCTTTTTGCCAGTGACTTTTGGCAAATTAAAGACAAACCTTATCATTTCAAAGAAATATAAATCATTATTTTAGTTCTAAGTTCCAAGATACATTTCTAAGTCATTAGAATATCTCCTTGCATCTTTTTATCACTCCTGGGTCTCATTTGGTTTGGTGTGTCCTGCAAGTTTTCATAGTTAGCCAATATTAGGGAACATTAAGTACTTGCTGCTAACAAAGTAAACACTTAGGACATTACTGTATTATTTAGCAGAAGATGTCTGACACATCACTTCTTGGCCCAGACAAGTGTAATGTTGCATGAGTATAATTTTCACATCCGTCATTGACTAAGCAGAAAACCAGCAATTTGTGAGCTTATCTTGTAACGGGCACAAGCAGTGACTGTAATTTCTTAAATGTCAGACAGTGTTACATACATGCCTTTTTCTCTCTTTTTCCTCTGTATTATAAAAAAATTGCAAAGTGAACCAGTGATGCTAATACTTTGGTACTTTCACTATGGTGGTGTACCTAATGGCTCACACACTAGAGTAAAAATAGGACAGCAACCTCACTACAAGTAGTCAAAATTTGTTGTTTCCCGTCGATTGCACTGAAAGTTTTTACTGTCACCAGTGGTTGGGCTTGCAGCACCCTCGGCCTCTCGACAACCACCTTTGATTGCAAACTAATCACGAAGGTTGCCTGGTTAGTTGTTAATTTAAAAAGACAGAAAGACTGCCAACACACTGCAATCAATCTGTACTTTTCTAATGAGCCCAACTCGTCAGTGATTGTCTCTACAGTAGGGGAGTCATGTCAGCTGGTTGCATTCTGGTTAAATTTCTATTTAAAAGTACGTTTACTGAGTGCCATGTCATTTTGCACAAGTTGCAATCCTTCAGCAACTACATCATAGTCTACTGACTCCCTCTTATCCCGTTTTTTAGACAAGTGGTCATAGACCTGGTCTATGTCTTTAAAGCAATCATTTCTAAGGCAATGAGATCAGAAATTCAAACAGTCACAGTCATTTTGGTTATTCCAGCCACTGTTTTCCCTGGCTGTAAAATAAAATAAATTTAAGAAATGATCTCTCTTCCAACGTGCTTTGAAAGTCTGCTGCCACTGCAGGGTTTAGAATCCAAGTTACTGAACACAAAATATTTATACATCAATGTATTATATATTGTCTGTTTATGTAATATGATAGAAGCTAAATCTACTGCCGGTTCATAAAAACTTCAAAAGTTGCTTGCTTCTGATAAACACAGAACTGTTTCAATGAAAGAAAATGTTGTGTTGTGTTTGTAATTAAGTTCAACCAGAAGATCTGGTAAAACTGAAAAAGAAAGGGACACGCATGCTCTAAAAATATCACCAAAACAAAATGAATGAGAATTTATATGTAGCCAATTTAAGAAACTAGACATTGCCGAAAAACAACATAAAATTACCAGAAAGGGCAAGTTATGAAGCCAAAATGTTGCAAGTGCTACAGTTTGTCAAACTCTCTCTATTGTTTACCAGTTGGCAAATGAGCTCATTCAACAGAATCAGAGCAAGAAGTCATAGGGGAAACAATACGCAAACAATGACTAGTGTTTGTGGTCAAACTCAGAAGCACTCAGCGTTCTCTCCCCAACATACAAACACCTTGTTTGCATTACAAGTAGGTGAGAAAAACCCACAAACAATTGCAGTGTGTAGGTAGGGCCTGTGGAACTTCACAAAGGAAAATTACCTTCTTCATCGCCCACAAGACTGTATTATGGGTATCGCCGCTGCTGCCAAAAAATCTTCAGGCGCCATATGGTCTCCCTGTATTTGTTAAGCTAAGCATGATGAGGCCCTCCTTGATCAGATGACAGAACATGGTGGAAGAATCCCATCTATTAGCATGCACCAGGCTGCCTTGGTTTCATAGCCTTGCATGAAACTCCATTATATAAACAGGCCTTGGGGTTAATGGGGAGAAAGTGTCTCTCTCAAGCTGTACCAACAGACCAGCACTTGTATTTGTGAATCATACTGAATCCATGTGTTTAGTTGAGCTTGCTGTAGAAACATGTACATTTTTAAATTTGTGTATGTGTTTTACCAAAGGGAAAATTAGTCTTTATCTTAAAGGAAGATGGACATTTTGTTCAATATGCTTTCTTTCCAAATGAGAGAGAAGATGAGCTTGATGGCAGGCGAGGGATGTGTCACTTCCTATTTTCTTTATAGCAGACTATATTTATCTATTATCATTTATTTTACTGAGCAGAGACCTCAAAAAGTCCATAGCATGGACTCTACTTTCTGAAAAAAAGAAATATTAATCAAAAATAAGAAGTAATCAATCAATCGATTGAGCCTTTCATTTGTCACATACAATGTTTACACCTGCAGTGAAATTGGACACCCCCCAGGCCACACATACATAGCAAAGACATGACGTGGGAAGACATGATCATCAATATAACTAATAAACCAACGCATAAATGGCAAATATTGTTTAGTATTGTCAAATGTATTTAAGACACTTTTTTTAACCAAACAATGTCATTGAGAATGTAGCTTATTTAGCTTATTTCTTCAGAAACATATTTTTAGGAAAGTTGGTTGGCAATTTGGCCTGGAACATAGTAGTGAGTCCTCAACAAATAGGACTGAATCAATCCGTTTGCCCCTTTTTTCAGACAAATAAACAAAAAATTGAATCTGCATTTTAATAAATACAGTATTGATAATATGTCCCAAGTGAAATCCTAGCTTTCTGGTAATACACATTGATTTGTCAGTTAAGGACACATGCCCTCAGTGGCCCAGTAACTAGATGCTAAGAGTAACTAGTAAGTAATTAGAATGAAGAAGAATTCTAAAAATATGTAGAATAAGCAGCTGTTTTCTGCTGCTGCTCCTCTACCTGAGACTATTAAAATAGTGTCATAAAGTATTCCCAACATTATCTAATGGTGCTATGGCAAGAAACCTATTATGCTATATTATTATACCACACTTTAATAAAAACCTATAAAAATCTAAAGCTGTATCTGTATTTATTATTGTGACCTCTTAATTTAAATTTGCAAATGCTCATCTTACTGTGGGCTTGTTGTATTCTACTGGCTGATTCAGAACAGATTTTTTTTGCTGTTGTGCGGTACATTGCCCTGCCAAGGGAGTGCTGTTGCCTCTTTGGGGAGACAACAGAACATTGGAGTGTAATAAGATGATCAATTTTAAAGTTTAGGTGTAAGTGGTTTTAATGTGTAAAGAAAGAAAATCAGTTTAAAGCATCATAAGCCTGCATAAACTGTGAACTGTCTCAAAAAGTACTCTATGAAAGTCCCTTGAGTTCTTCAGTATTTAGAAGTCCTTTGATTGAGCGTGTATAACAATGTTTTTCCCTGTCTTTTTTCTAATGATAATTAGGCTGTTTCAGGAACTCCAGGAACAATTTTATTATGCAGCCTCATTTTGATTCCATTAATGTTACTGCATTATTTGACTCTTACCGTTTCAAAGAAATAGCCCCCTAGCATAGACTGAAACCCTTCACTTCTTAACAAGGTTTTTATTGTGAACCAATTAAACTCCTACCAAAATGGCACGAGTGCACTGTTTATATTATATATGTATTATTTATTAAAGTTAATTAGGATGCACATTATATGCCATTAATTTGAAATATACCATTTATTGAAATCACTTAAGACATCTAATCTTAATATTAATCAAAGTACATTGTAACTTGTCACTGGTGATTGCACTGAAAGTTTTTACCGTCAATCACTGATGTGGGATGGTGCCAGTCTTTGTCTTTCTGTTTTGCCTTTGTGCTAACCCTTCTGTGATATCTACATCCCTATATTGTAGTTGATGGAGGCTGGAATGAGTGGAGCCAGTGGACAGTGTGCAGCAGTCAGTGTGAGAGGCAGCGAACTCGGGAATGCAACTCCCCAATACCCAGACACCGAGGCAAAATGTGCGAAGGGAACAGTGAGGCCACTGAGAACTGCACAGATGGACTGTGTACCCAGAGTAAGGCCTTTCTCTCTACTGTCATCATCATTTTTCTATTTTTTTTCCCCAACATTATCATTATCATATATACACTTACTATAACATGGCAAGTCATCGCAAGCGTGCTTGAAGAGGAGGTGTGAATTGAAAAAGAAGCCACAGTGTGGACTGACACAGATTCCCAGTCCATGATAATGTCACCACTCTTTCTTATGTACACTGCTCCCTTGACCTGTCATGAGTCAGCCAGTCACTACTTTCAAATAATGTTTGATGTGTGAAATATAATTTCATTATTATTTTGGTATGAAGTGATTTAAAATCAAATGAGCTGGTCCCAGTAACAAGTTAAATAAGCTGTAAATGTAATTAATAAATCTAAACCTTGCTTCTATGCACAAGTGTGCAAGTAATGCTAATTCAGCTTTACGCAGACTATTGCATGACTTCTGTCCATTTGGTCCATTCTACCACAGATCCTTAGCTTTTATCAGTTTTTTTATGTTTGAAAACAGATATTGGAGAAACATAGTAGATAAATCGAGATACATTCATTAATACCAGCTTGACTTGGATTGCTTGTAAATGTTTACACTCAATCTTAACACTGAAAAACACTGTAGCTTTTTTCTATCAGTCAACTTGGCAGCTCCAGTGTAACAACAGCCAAAAACAATTGCCAAAATGTGACTTAGCATCATTGTAAAATGGACTATATAAACATATTATGATACAGGAACCTTTCTTTGTGCAAGTACATCACTAAAAACTTTCAGAGTACTTTTTATTTATTTCTTTTGGGGTTTTTTTTTTTGTTTTTTTTAAGTACTCTGGCTATTTGCTGCTATCATAAATAAGCATGATATAAACATACATATAAACTTAGTACATTTCATTTCTTTTGTTGTACTAACTTTTCTTGGCAAGAAAAGCAACCACCTGTTTTTTGGTGCCACAATTGTAAGGAAATTGCATTTGTGGGTTTAGCAGCAGAGTTGAGTCTGCGGGTTGCACCCATGAATAAGAGACCAAATGCTCTCTGCTAATGCCAGAGAACTATTTCTGCTATTGAGTCTTGTTTGGTGCTGTGTATGGGATTTGTTAAGAAGTCTGAAGAAACCAGACATACTGGCAGTTTAATCATTCATTCATTTATCAAGCAGGGGCCTCCTTTGGATGTGGAGAAACCATTTATAACCACAATAGCCCGGCACTTCCTCCTCATGCTGGTCACCAGCTGTGGAATAGCATCTCATTTTTCAACCAGCGTTTGTCATCAGTCAGTCATGTCAGTTGTGCTGGTCACTCTGACATCAACAACATACATAGCTGATCCTACAAGTGTTCAATGGGGTTGAAGTGAAGACTATAGGTCAGTCCATCCTCCTCTACTTGTCTGGGTAGAGAGCTTTTGTCCATACCCTCCTGCAAACCTTTACTGCAAAACTGTGGAAGATTCTTCTTGTGGTGAACTCTCCTGGGGACACCCACTTCGCGATGTCCCTGGCATCTTCAAAAGAAGAGTCAGTAGCAGAATAAGCTGTTTGGCATTGGCAGAGATTGGCAGGTTTTCATAGGCACAACCCACATAGTCAACTCTGCTGCTTTACCCAGAAATGCATTTTCCTTACAAATGTGGCACCATTTAGGGGAAATAAGAAGTCTTTCCAACTCTATAAGATTTACTGACAATAATCACAGTTACAACAAAGAAATAATTGCATTCTACAAGGTTTAGGAGTGTGTTTATGGAAATTTTTAACCATTCTTCCAGAAGCATGTTTGTGCGGTGGATAAGAAAGCTGGGCTCACAGTATCCGCTCTAATTTTTCCCAAAGGTGTTTTATTGCTTTGCGTTCAGGACTCACAAATCATAGTCACTCATTTATGCACCTTGCTTTGTGCACTGGTTTGCAGTCATCTTGGAACAGAAAGGAGCCATTCTCAAACTATTCCCACAAAGTTGGGAGCATGAAATTGTCCAAAATATCTTGGTATGTTGAAGCATTAAGAGTTCCTTGCACTGGAACTAAGGAGCTGAGCCCAGCTCCTAAAAAATAACCCCAGACCACAATCCCCCCCTCCACCAAACTTTACACTTGGCACACTGCAATCTTACATCTACTGTTCTCCTGGCAACCACCATCCATGAGAATGCCTGACAGAGAAGCGTGATTCCTCACTCTAGAGAATGTGTCTTTACTGTTCTAGGGTCCAGTGGCGATGTGCTTTACACAACTGCAGCTGAAGCTTTGCATTGCACTTTGTGTTGCAAGTCCTGGATGCAACAGCTTAGCCATAGAAATGCATTCTGAAGGTCTCTACTGACTGTTCTTGAATGAATCTGAAGGCCACATGAAGTTTGTGAGGTTTGTAGCGATTGACTCTGCAGAAAGTTGGCGACCTCTGCTCAGTCTGCTCCTCATCATCTGCCGACCCCTCTCTGTGATTTTACATGGCCTACAACTTCGTGGTTGACTTGCTGTTATTCCCAGTACCACTAACAGTTGACTGTGGAAAATTTAGAAGTGAGAAAATTTCAAAACTGGACTTGTTGCATAGGTGACATCCTATTATGGTACCACTCTGTAGAGTGACCCATTCTTTTAAAAATGTTTGTAGAAGCTCCCTGAATGCCTGGTGCTTGATTTTGTTTTACACCTGCAGCCATGGAAACGATTGTAACACCTGAATTCAGTGAGTTCCTTTGGGTCTGGTGGGAGTGAGGCCAGAGTGGACCTGGCTTGTTCCAGTGCATCCTGCAAAAGCTCACAATAGGCCTCCTTTTGTGTTCTTGGTGGATTCTGAGCAGTTTTTTTTGTGCAGCGTGCATTTGGTACATTGTATCCCCCAAAAGAATGTTGTTGTCAGTTTGGGGAAGGCAACAGAACACTGCAATGCAATAAGATAATCATTTTAGACAGTTAGACAGTGGTCTTAATTAGAGCTGGGCGATAGAACGATAACGATATGTATCGCGATATAACTTTTACTCGATAGAGAAATTAAGCTATCGCGATAGACCTCGCCACTCTTGTCCTCTTAAAAAAAAAAAAAAAAAAAAAAAAGGTCAGCCAATCTAAATTAAGTAGCGCAGAGCCGAACCAATCACAGCCGCAGCGTCACGTCGCGTGACTTGTTACGTACAGCACAAGTGCCAAGCCGCACGTGTGTTTGTTTGGGAAGCAGCCAGCGGGTAATGGAGCCAGCGCGTAATGGAGGAAATGAGTGTGCCGATTAGAAAAATCAACCGAGCGTAACCGAAGAGAAAACAGATGATGGTTCCAATGCCGGAGAGATTGTCGAACGGAAGAGCCAAAGAAGTTCCGTAGTGTTGTAACAAACCTTTTGGGTTATAGCACCACTAGGGGGGGTTGCCCAACTATTGTAGTAGCTGTGGGGGTCTCCTAGGGGGTGTGTGAGTTGTTAGCGGCAGCCATTACATGCTGCTCGTGTTCTGTTCTCAGGATAGACCTCACCGTTGTAACGGCCTGGCACCGGCGACTACCGATCCCCGCACATGTATGTACGGACAGTGTAGAGCCGTGGAGACCTGGCTTGTATGGTCTTATGTTGCTGACAAGGAATAAAGGTCTGTTGTTTAATTAAACTGACTGGCTCCGTGTTATCCGGCTAACCTCCACACCACATGCCCGCTGGACCGGCTAGCCGCTCCTTCCTCGCCAGACTGCTGTTACAAAGTGGCGCCCGAACATTGTTCTCTGGATCTTCATCGTCATCCGGACCGACAGACGGTGGGCTCGGATGTTTTTCCCGTGTTTTTCAACGATCGACACTTCGGCTGAGGTGGCGTGTTTTTTTTCTCTTCGTCTGGCTGTATTTGCCGGGCCAATAGAACCCCGTGAAGGAGCCGACTCCCCACGATTTCAGCGATATTTGCAGGCACGGAAGAGCGCCGACCCATCGCTTGAGACGCTCGCCTGCCGAGGGAGAGTACTCCGTGAGTAACTGTACGGTCCGTCGGACCGCCAACTCAGTGCTGTTGGACCGTTACGACATCGGCGGCGCTAAAGCTAAGGCTAATGCTGCAGTGACTTTGACTCAGTGTTTATTCAGAAGGACGTGTTGTTTTGTGTCAAGCATTGAAGCATCAGAGTGTGCATGGACGCTCTCGGTCTGACTGATATATGCGCTTAGGTACTGTGTGTGAACGCTCTTTTCACTTCGCCATAACTTTTGTGGGAGCGAGTTGTTTCCACACTTTTAAAATGGCGTCCCACGCAGACACGAGGAGTGAGGAAGATGGCTGCGACCCGGATGCTGAGGCGCCTGGCCTGACAAAGTACATCATCCCTCACTCTACACCTCTTTACCTCAACCTTGAAGTGGTAAACTTGAAAGGGGAGGTCAAGAAGCCACGAGTTTGCTTACAGGCTTCGCTGGAGCGGCAGAAGAGCCTGCTGAAGTGTTTGGATCAGGGAGCTACGGGAGAGCCGGGAGAGCGGCCATCTCCCCAACGAACCCCGCCGGTGCCCCGTAATGACTGCTGGTTGGACGGGTACCAGGTGGACTAACTGTTATCATACGGACAATCTTGAGGTTGACTAAGGGTTGGTTTCATGCAAGATGTATGTGATGTAATTATTCTGTTCGCAAGGGATGATTACTTGTTCTGTTCCACTGAACCCTCGTCACCACAGCCCGTGAGAGGCTTTTGGTTTGGTTTTCTGTTGTACTGATTTAAGCAGCGGGATGTGTTGTACTTTTGACTGTTTTTCCCTTGTCTAGGACCATCTCCAGAGGATGACTAGCCAGTAACACTGCATGTTCTGTATTGTTTGCTTCAATCACTAATTGTGTTTATTGACTGTACCAATGCCGTAAGGGTGTACCTCCACAACCTGCTTACTACCTAAAGTAGCTTTGTATAGTGAAAGGGGTAGTGGGAGGAGGGTCACCTGGGGTCCGGCTGAGGACAGCCTCCCAATTGCCGGCAAACACTACTTTTGTTTATTGATTGTATTGACTGTACCGATGCTGTATAACAATTCCTCCACAGCCTGCTTAGCCAAGATTGACACTGGTGAAGACGCAGGAGTCTTCCACGTCGTGAACGTTCAGCCATTTTACTCCTGGGACTCCACATCTCCTTCAGGGCACCGGACTTCGTCCCAGGAGAGCCTGGATGAGACTGAAACGGGGGAACAGCCCTCATTCCCGAGTTCAGGGGATATCGGAGCAGGCGGGCACCCCGCTGAGGGCGCCTCTGAGTCGCCACCGGCCAAGGGGGAACAATATCATTTGAGACCCCGACGGTGCCCCAGAATCACTGAGGGTTGGACTGCTACCAGGTGGACTAACCGTCATCATACGGACAGACTCAATGTTGACTGAGGGTTGGTTTCATACATGTACATGCTGTAATTGTTCTGTTCATAAGGGGTGATTACTTGTTCTGTTCCACTGAGCCCTGGTAATCGTGGCCCGTGAGAGCCTTTGTTTGGTTTTCTGTTATACTGATTTGAGTGACCGGTTGTGTTGTATGTCTGACTGTTTCCCTTGTCTATGACCATCTCTGGAAGATGGATTGGCAGTAATACTGCATGTTCTATATTGTTTGCTTCAAGCACTAATTTTGTTTATTGACTGTACCAATGCTATAAGGTAAGGGTGTCTAACAATTCCTCCACAACCTGCTTAGTACCTAATGTAACTATGTATAGTGAAGAAGGGTAGCGGGAGGAGGGTCACCTGGGTCCGGCTGAGGACAGCCTGCGAATTGCCGGGGGGGGTGATGTAACAAACCTTTTGGGTTATAGCACCACTAGGGGGGGTTGCCCAACTATTGTAGTAGCTGTGGGGGTCTCCTAGTGGGTGTGTGAGTTGTTAGCGGCAGCCATTTCATGCTGCTCATGTTCCATGCTCCAAGAAAGCACCTTACTTACTGTTGTGACAAGCTGGCGCTGGTGGTACCAATCCCCGCGCATGTAGGTTCGGACGAGTACAGCCGAGGAGACCTGGCTTATAAAGTGTAATGTTGCTGACGGCGAATAAAGGTCTGTTATTGGATTTAACCGACTGGTTCCGTGTTATCCGGCTAACCTCCACACCACATGCCCGCTGGACCGGCTAGCCGCTCCTTCCTCGCCAGACTGCTGTTACAGTGTGAAGGTATTTCGGCTATTTCAAGTCTGACAAAAAACAGAGTAGCGTGCACTGTAAATTGTGCCGAAAGCAAGTCTGGAAATACAATAAACTGGTGCATGCGTCACACTGTGCGCCACGTTATTGTTTCGGTGAAATGAATTTCTACAATACTGTTACTGTTAATTCTACTCTCTGCAGTGTTTAAATGCTTACATATACACACAGTTACTGTCCCTCCACAAATACGACTCGGTTCTGCTTCTATGCCCCAGCTTTGTTTACTTTTTCCCACTGAGGCTTCTAGACTTCTGATTGGCCAACATTTCTGCACGGTTAGGAATCTAGCGCCACCTGCTGCTTTGGCATGTTCATAGCAGCGTTTTCCTTCATTTCTGCCTTTATGTGTGGACGGGATTATTTTTTAAAACGAAAACGGAAAATCTCCGTTTTCAAAAATACCCGTGTACGTGTGGACGTAGCCTCAGTCTCTGACTGGAAGCGCTAATTCGTCATTCGGCTTTTGTCAGACTAAAGTAACTGTTAAAACTGTTTGAATAGCTAAGCTATACAACAAGGAGAGATTGAGAATTTCCTTTTAGTTCTCAGTTTATTTGATATTGACAAAAGTTAGTCAGTTTTGTCTGTTCTTCTGTAAAACAAACTAAGATTTATTTTTAGAATTAATATTTTGTTTCTAAGTGGAATTGACAATTTAGTAGTCTGTTTCGTTTGTTCTGTTTTGAAACTTAAACGCTTTAGCGGCTGCCTTTTGTGTAGTTTGCAATATTTGCCTTTATTTATCTGAAAAAGTCTCATGTTCCTTAAGTACATCTACCCTGTTGAACTTATTATGGGAAATAAATATTTAAATAAAAACAAGCTGCTGATTATTTCACATTTTACTTGTGAGCAACAGCACATTTAAATCTTACAAATATAGTTATTTGGCTTATATCATGATAGATATCGTTATCGCCTGAAATGAAAAAAACATATCGTGATATGAAAAAATCTCATATCGCCCAGCTCTAGTCTTAATGTTATGGGTGATCAGTGTAGTCTGGTAGAAAAGTACGACTCAGTCCTCAAACATTAGAGATCATTAGTTCACTCAGAGATGAGTTTATACAATCTATACCTCACCTTCTTTATCTGTGATGCTTTGATAACTATATTAAAACCTTCCAGGCCATTATGAGATCCAATATATCGTTTGTAAGTACAGTCAGTAGAAGAGCTTCCCTCTGTTCAGGGTGTTGGATCTGAGACCACATTTGATAGTCACTTCACAGAGGCTCAGACTTTAATCACCACTTTCTCTCCTCTTTGTCTCATTCTATCTCTCTGTCTTTGCAGATCGAAAGCTGCTACATGACGTTAAACCTCAAAGTGAGTCTTCCACTGTGGATTTCTTTCATCTTCTACTCCCCTGCCCTCCCACCTGCCATTGATATGTTATATGCCCTTAATTTTGAGCGCAAGAAATGCTATAGGCAAACTAGAGGAGTGACAGTCCTTTGCATTCTCTTAGCATATACTCTGGAAATGGACACATTATGAATTACAGTATTTAGTTCACCTTGATCTAAGCAGCTCTGGTGTTAACCCAGCAAATGCTCATTACAAATTCATGTCATTATTCAGTGCTGAACTTTTATGACAACCGTGACATCACAGCTGTGTTTCTACTTTGAGCCATGAGATATATTGGTTGTGACAAGTGAACATGTGCTATGTTGTGGAGGATTAATGATTTGTAATCATTGCAAATGAGCTAATTTGAGCAATTTACAGCGCTGTCCTTGCATTCCTGTGGTGGCGTTCAATCACTTCCCAGAGTTAGTCCAAGTAAGTGATTGTCAGGTGTTATTGTAGCTCCATTAGGTTGCCACTTCAACATGAAAGTTGTGCCTACTACAAAAGCTTAAATGATTGAATGGGGATTGCATAAAGCTTATATGTGGCAAGCAATCACTGTATGGGGTCTGATTGCCTTTCCTGTGAGATATCCATCACAGCTATTGGACATAGACCAGTAGGTCTAAAGACAGTAAGGCTAATCACTCTCACTGTTACTAGCTTTAGTGTAATATGCCACAGTTTAACATTATGGTCTACTCCTCTCACCATATTCTCACAAAGTCACAAAATTTAGGTTTGTAAGTATTTGACTGACATTTTCTTTCTAGTTAATTCCAATATGCTACACCCTGGTGGTTTTTAAACCAGACTAAGTTAAGGTCAAGACTAAGATAAAGATAGAGTTCAAGTACAAAATTCCAGCTCAAGTTTAACAAAACTTTAAGAAAAATTTTACATAAACTATTTAGTAATTACCAGCATATTTACACATAGTTCCCCATTCTCAGAGTCTCAAAAGCAATTTGACAAACAAGCATGACTTGAAATATAAAGATTTGTTTTTAATCTTTATAAAAATCTCTTGTAGTTAATGCCTTCCTTTAGTCTAAGACCAATGAATATCACTAAATATGGTTTTCTCCTGGCAGTTATTTCAGTTGCTGCTTGTTCGTGGGTTTCTCTCTCTTAGTTTTTTCTTTAGTAACTGAAAGCCATGCTCTATTGGGTTACGATCAAGTGACTGACATGTAACTTGGGTTGCTTTTGCCGTATGTTTGGGATCATTGTCCATTTGTACTGTGGAGTGCTGTCTGACTACTTTAGCAGCATTTGGTTGAACGTGAGCAGAGAATATAGCCCTGTACCTTTAAGAATTCATGCTGCGTCTATCAGCAATCACATTATCAATAAACACTAATGGCTGTGTTCCACTGGCAGTCATACATGCCCATTCGTTCATGCCTCCACTATATTTAATAGTTTGTGATAAACTGCTCTTTTCCTTCTTCATATTGTCCTCTTACCATGATTGTGATACAAGATAATCTTAGTTTCATCTCTTCAAAGATTTTTCTTCATGTAGCCAACTTTTGATATGCTTTTGACAATCCTACCTCTTTACTTGGTTAGATGCTCTGAAGAAACTGTTGTTAACGAAAGAAGGAACTCTGTGAACGACCACTGCAGTTGTTGTCTGTGGTCCTTTGGGGCTTTTAGTGTTGTTGCATCCATTCTTTTTAGGAATGTACCAGATTTTTTATTTGGTCAGTTTAAAGTTTTTTCTATCGCTCCGATGGCACTGCTTTGTTTTGCAATGTAATGATGGCCTCCTTCGATTGTACTGATATCTATTGGGACCTCATATTGAGAGTTACAGTGAATAGCTTCAGCAACTGGGATCAGCTCCATATGTTTCATTCCAATTACACTGAGTCTCTGAAAATGGCTGTTATTGTTAACAGTTAATGTGTAATACTTTTGTTAAATTAAAAGTAAAAGTCTGCACTTCAATAACATCTTGACTGTTTGATTGAAAATTGACTGTGGTGGTTACGGATGTTCCAGTCGACAAACTTGGTCTAAAACTAAGAAACACTCAGCTGTTAAGTTACATTGCAGAACAAGTTAAAGGAACATGTCGAAAGTAACAAAGGCATTTTAAACCATTAATCACATTCTTCAAGAATGAATCATGGTGCTTAAATGTGCAACAACTCACATCACGCGTTGTCAACATTGCACGTTATACTCCAGAAAATGAGGAAGAAAAACACTTCAAATAAAGCGAGGTTGAATATGATATGGAAAAATATTACTACAAAAGAAGTTCATGTATTACTAAAATATGACAAATTAACATCCGAAAAACGAATAAAGTACACTGAAAAGTGTGTCGTGCATTATGAGTGATGTAGGCTGTTTGAAAATTCATGACAACCACCAAAATAAAAATTTAAATCTAAAATTAAAAAAAAAATCATTCATCTTCTTCCACTTATCTGAAGTCATGGGGGCAGCAGCAGGGAAGCTCAGACCTCCCTCTCACCACCTACTTCAGCTTTTCCAAGGAAAATGTTTTCCCAGGCTAGCTGATAGATGTAATCTCTCCAGCGGGTCCCAGGTCTACACCGAGGCCTCCTCCCAGTAAGATATGCCCAGTTGGAAAACTTTACCCAGAAGGCAACAGCCTTAGCTGTTCCCTTTCAATGTGAGAGTAGCAGCTCTACTCTGAGCCCCTCCCAAATGACTGAACTCCTCACACACACTGTGTGTGTGTGTGTGTGTGTGTGTGTGTGTGTGTGTGTGTGTGTGTGTGTGTGTGTGTGTGTGTGTGTGTGTGGTAACCTTTGATTTCTCAACCCTACACTCTTTGTTTGATTGTGATTCATTTGGCTAAATATAAAATGATGAATGTAAAGTATGAAGTTGATATAAGTATTTATTTATCACATTTTCTAGATAATGGATGACTTGATGGTACTTTTTCAAAGTAAAATCAGATTTGTTAAACTAAACTTTTAATATGATGCAGAGGCACTTGTAATCAAGCATTAAAAACAATCAGGGTCAAAGTGGTAAAGCATTACTAAAGCAATATGCATGTAGCCCAAGCAGTTTCAAACAGGAGCCTTGTAGTGACAATCTGAAAAATCTGAGGACAATTGTGAGTTATTTTTAACGACTCCAAAACAATTTAAATACATAAATAAATAAATAAATAATGAAATTGTATTTCTAGTAAGACACTTACTAGTATAGTAAGTATATTTTAAGTAAAATTATGGATGGAGTAAGAAGACCTACAGTGCTATTAAAGTGCTACAGTCAAGTAGATATCTTTTGATATCAACTTGACTGTAGCACTGTAGCTTCTCTAGCTGCCATGTGAATATTGGATGTCATACCTCATTTCCTCCTTCTTGCTTTATTTTCATACTAACCCAAAACTTGCTTGAGTTGGCTCTTGTATGTCCACATAATAACATCATTTTCTCCACTGTTTTTCTCCATCTCATCTTCACTCTCTGTGGGTCTTTATTATCACAACTAAGGCGATGCTCTTTTCTACACAACATTAAGGAAAAAGTCTTTCACTGGGTCAGCTTCTTTCTGTTTAGGTAAAGTGATTCATTTACAGAAAAATAATATTAAAACTGAAATTATATCCTGCAAATTAATAAAATGTGGCTGATAAAATTATTTACATTACAGTCTTAAAGGATCTGTGGGTAACCTTGGTATTAATTGTTAAGTGAGCTGTTGTTCCTTGCTTGTGGCACTACACTGCAAGCTAACATCGGATAAAAGAGTGAGAGTGATAAGACGTATATTAGATGGTGCTGATCTACACTATCATGGTGTATTGTGCAATGTAGGTCTACAACAACTTGAAGAACATTGCACATACTGTATCCCTCAGTATCAGTATAATAGCGCAAAAATAGTTTGCAGAATCTAAATGCTAGTCTTGTTTTTGTTTAACACTATTAAATGATTATATTACAGATACGATTTTGTGAAAATTCAAGCTATCTACAGCTGGTAGCTAAATACTATCTAGCTGTGAGAGTCTGGTTCCTAATGTTAGTTGATAAAGTATTCAATTTGGATAGCTACAGTGAGTTACATAGATTAGGTTTTGAGGTTTGGGTAAATTCGTTGACAAAATCATCAACACTCAGCAATGCAGCTAGCCGGTTAACCTAACCTTATTTTCTTGCTAAACTTGTCACTACCAAAGTAGTTTCTCCATTTTTCTCCATTTGTTTACTTTTATAGCTGACGCTGAGCTCCAGTTCCATTAGACTGAAGCTTGGCCATAAATGTTGAATTTTGTTGACCTATTCAGTATTGGACAGGAAAAGTGTTAGATTATTGCAGCAGAACATTGTATTCCAAGCATTTCTCATCTTTTGAACCCACAATACAACTATGCTGCCCACAACTGAGTTTGAGATTGTTTCAGTTATGTGTTGGACAGTATCTAATGTAGCCTTGACCCACAGTCACAGTGGTATTGCTCTTTTTAAACATTGTTTAGAGTACCTAAACAATGAATTAAAGCACTGATTATGTTGAATTTGAGCAACATAAATGGACATTGATTGCCTGGCCATTATTTTGTCCTATTCCCTTAGGCCATTACTTGAAGTGCTTCTTGAGGAATAAGAGAATTGAAGGTAGCCATTTTTTGTGTGTGTCTTGTGTCTCAGGTATGGAGAGCTCCAATGATGTGGCTCTGTACTCAGGCCTTGGAGCCGGCATAATCACCGTTGCAATCCTTGTGGTGGCTGTCATGCTGTACAGGAAAAATCACAGCGAGTACGGCGTGGACGTTATTGACTCCTCTGCGCTCACCGGGGGTTTCCAGTCTTTCAACTTCAAGAACACCAGACAAGGTAAGAGAGTGCCTTCGACTGCGTGTTGACACGAGACAGCGACCACAAGGCCAAACGGCAGCATCATCACAGACCTTTCTGACAGGGCCACCAGGTGATTGATGGCATTTGTTTGCATCAAGCAGAATGTGTGCAGCCTCCCTATCTGCTTAGGATTTATCCCTCCATAATCAGCGAAAGAACTAGTCCTTCTATTTTGACAGACCTGCTCGTCTGTTATTGTGAAGTGGTAGATAATCAATCTCTGATAGACACCTATACTACCACCCCTCCTCCCTGCAGACCACACATTTGAATGTCAGGCAACCAATATTCTCCATTAGATTACACTGGCCTAAGCCACTGATGGGTATGGAACAGTGAACATCAATTCAATTTCTGTTGGGTGCAGCGGTAACTTTGGTTGACGACTGTGGCCATCTCAGACAGCCTCGCTACAGGCATCCACATGACCGTTCCTAACACTTCTGGGTTAGTGCATGTGATAGCCATGGCGCTGACAGGTGATTCATCCTCAGTGCATCCGTGAAGAGTCCCATTAGGGGCCTACACTCTACCCCACAGCACCTCCAAGGCCTAGGGAGCCGGTCTAGCCCCACCCGTTGTCATGGCATTGGAAAGGTGCGAGACAAAACACCAGGTCTACATTCAGCAGGTCATTAATCCTATTTAAATAGGCCAGTTCTCCTTACAGCCTGCCTGCTGTGCCCTCGACCAGCCACAATCACTCCTTTCCATTTTCTATTGAAATGTAGAACACCTTCTTCCACATCTCTTTCCCGCAGTTTCTTTTGAAGGAAGTTGTTGAGGCATTTTATACAGGCCTGCTTGTTAAAGTTTTACAATCCTTTTTATAAACATGGCAAGAAATTAAATGCTTCCTTGAGGATGGAAAGACCTTACAAAGTTTTTGTTTAATTGTATCTTAATAGCATTTTCATGCCCAATAATTACTAGCAAGAAATTTTTTTAAGGAAGTTCTTAAATGCTTTCGGATGGCTCTCTGCTATCAGAGTGCAGAATGAGTCTTTGGACCTGAACCTGTCTCTGTGCATTACTTCTCCTTCTGAGTGATTTTTAATCAGAAGCCCAATTCCAAACCTATCCCTCAAGGTATTCAACCTGAGGTACATTTCATTAACTTCTCTCATCTCACCACTGCCATTCCATTTTCACTGCACCATTCTTAAAGATGCACACTCAAGCGATAATCAGATCATTCTCCACTCGACCGGAGGGGAGAAAATTTAGCAGTGATCGAATGTCAGCTGCAGAGGGGTAATGTCCACCAGAGTGCGGCTCTGACCAAGAGCCAGAATATCAGCAGAGCTGCCTGTGGGTTCACTTGAAATGAAAAATGCGTCTTTTTTTTTATCAATTTCTTTGGGAACATCATCTTTAGTGGCAATTACCAGGTAATGTTACCTGCATCATATGTGCTGGTGCTTTGTCATCTGGAATGCAGGCACTAGAGTGGTGAATGATAAAGTATGTTAAATCTGCAATGATATTAATACAGTATACTGCAGTGGTTTCCACATGGTACACAGAGGCACACTGCTGTGCTGTGAGCAGAACTGTAAATGGTAAATGTACTGGTTCTTATATAGCGCTTTTCTACTCTATCTGAGCACTCAAAGAGCTGCTGAGGATTTTGTAACAATATATTATTTTGATATAGTTTTGTAATATTTACTTCATGAACATGGTTCATGCTTTTGCCACATGGTGAGGAGAGTATGACACCATACTCAAACTGTGGAGGGAAAACTATAATTTTCTTGTATTTAACAAAACATAACAAACCAACAGTGCAGACAACCCATTAGACCTTGTTTTTTGGTAATGGAAATGCCAAATTTTAGATGGAAAAAATGGTTGATGGTGTTTTTTGTTTTGTTTTTCTTGTTTTTTTGTTATGTCAGTCCTACACTCGCTTTCTGGCTCTCTTTTTGGACTTCATTGTTTCAGTTTTTTCAGCTGACTTTCTCCTGCTTTTTGATTTTTGTTTGTTGTTTCCCCCCTTAGCAGTGCAGGCTTCTCTTTAACAACAACCTGTTTCCTTATAAAGACAAATGGAGACATGGCAGTATGCACATTGTAGGTGTAGCAACCACAAGCTGTTGATACAGAAACTGATTCACTAACATATTCTAACACTAACAGAACTGACCACGTTTCACAAAAACAGTGGTAATTTTTCAAGTGAACACATCTTTGCTCAGGGTACAGGGTACTCGGGTTACCCTTCCTGCCATCATCTTAAAAGGGATTTATATGTTCTCCTGGAATTAAACCAGCAACCTTTTAACTGTGACAGGAAAAAATAAGGGATAAAGTTTTGAAAGAATAAGTGAAAAAGCAACACACACTCCAAGATGCTCATCACAAATCACATACCAGGTAATTAATGACTTCCCTAAAAATAAAACAACATTAGCCTCCTGCTTTGCACCCCTCGCCTGGCAACAGCTGGGCAGCAAGGACTCAATGACTTCACTGTTATCTTGGCTGGCTCATCGAGGGGCACGGCACGTCTGCCAAATCGATGCGGCGTGCTCCTTGCTCTGTTTGGCAGCATCGTCAAATCTAATGGTCACAGATGAAGACGCCTCCCTCTCACCTCCCTCAGTAGGCTGCTGCTGGGTTCATGCTGGGAGATGAAGGACTCCCCTCATTTACAGAGCGGTCACATAGATCCTCGTGGCCCTCCCTCCTGTCCTTCAGGAGGACAACTGGGTGTCCAGAGGAGCTGACTCCAGCAGATGGATTATGGAGATCAAGCTGTGGGTGTGCTTGGTAATTAAATCTAACGCTCTGACCGTGGCTCAGAGCCCTGGACCTTCTGTCCAGGTTGTGCTCCCTTACCTCTGATGTAGCGGCTGCCTGCCCGGGCATGTTGTTTTAATTGCTGCTGGAATTTCATTGGTCAGCTGCAAGAATTTTCGAGCGATGTGGCCTTTAAACCTGAACTGACCTGGATCAGTGCTATCTGGGGACATCCAGATATTTGTATTAATTTTAAATATTAACGCTGCTTTTAATATTTTGTTCTTTTTTTTTTGGTGAAATGACAACTCAGTTGAATGTAATCTGCTGCACTGTGCTGCAGACAGAGAGCCTGGATAATATTTAATTTAAGTAAGATGTTTTTCAGCTTTTAAACATCTTTGAATTTCTTCTTCTTCTTTTTTTTTCTTTCCTAAATCAAGGCATTAAAAAATACCTGAATCGTACAATCTTGACCTTTTTTAGTTGTATCTGGGACAACAGTGAATTTCATTATCCCATGTGAGTGCTGTTTAGGTAGGGCTTTGATTCATTAGTTAAATGAGTTCCCTGCCTAATACAGGTCCCTTGTGAGCAGGGCTTCTAGGTGACTTGTGTGCTGTCTTTCCATCTCTGTAGGAAACCCGTTGCTTCTCAACTCCTCCATGCAGCCAGACTTAACAGTGGGCCGGACATACAGCACTCCCCTCTGCTTCCAGGACAGCACAGATAAAGAGCTCTTTGACCCCCTGCCAGACATCAAGGTCAAAGTTCAGAGCTCCTTTATGGTTTCACTAGGTGTGGCCGAGAGGGCGGAGTTCCACGCCAAAGCCCCAGCCGAGACCTTCCCGCGAGATCTGAGCCGGGACTATTGCAGCACCATGGACAGAAGGAAGAAGGGCCTGCTTACCCTCAATGGGCCCTTCAGCTCCTGCAAAGAGCCGCTGAGGACCACCGGTGTGTTTGGTCACCATGGAGGGAGGCTGGTTGTGCCAAACACAGGTGAGCTTTACAGAAAAGTTGCTGGACTATCATGCAAAACCATAACCATAATTTTCCACCAATTTTCTTGCTTTAGTTTTTTTTTACTTCCTCTTATCTGTGCGTCTTGAAAGCATAGTATTTCTTTGTTGCAGTTCATTAAGACAAACAGCAGAGTGATTCTCTAGAAGGTGGGCAGGACTGCTTAGAAACAGGTCCCTATCAGTAATCAGCAACCATTTTAGCTTTCTTTTAAAACAGAAAATTATTACTGTCTTAACCAAAGCATATTCAGGGACCACCATATCAATGTATCATGAAAAAGAAAAAATGCTAGTGTGACACAGCAGATGCAATAGTAAAAGTATAACAAACCATCGATTGAATCAGAAACTATAAAGCAGGATTTATAGGTTACTGCTGATTGAACTTGAAGTTAAAGACCTCTTAGAATGCTGTATTTCTTGTTGTACGAAGCAGCTAGGGTGTTTCTCAGAGGTCAGCGGCTCACAGAGGGGAAATAAAAGATGCGATGTGTCTGTCAGTTTAGTCTGAAGGATTAATCTCTTGCCCTGACAGTAAAAGTGACTCAGCATTTGTCTGGGGCTTCCCAAATATGCATCACATGTTCTCAAGCCGAGATAAAGAAGTGCACACATAATGCAGATGCTAATGCCAAGTTCAGACTACACAGTGGAAGCTGAGAAGATGTAGAGCAGTGGATCCAAAAATAAGCATAGGGCCCTGGGATACATTTTATCCCATGTAGCAACAACCACCGAAGCCACGTCTTAGACACCTTGTGACATTCTAACAAAAAGACAAGCCCGCCAGAACTGATATTTTTAACTTCTCTCGACCTCCTATGACAATCTCCACAATTTGTTTTGTGACGTTGACTAATAGGAGCAGAGAGCTTTCTGGCTTGCATGGCAAAAGAAAGAATCCAGAGAACAGGCAGCCCATACTGTTCCAACTGAAAGGTCCACAGTCACAGACCAGCCACTAGCATACACACGAATTTATGCGCAAGAATAGATTCTACATTTTGCTTTGGGTAGCTGGTTGCTGGCCCATCCCTACTTGTGAAAGACTCTAAGCTCTGACCAGTTGAGGTCTGTCGTGTCGCTCTGACTCAAGTCACTGCAAGATCAGACAGAAATAGCTTGAATAGCTTAAAAGACCAACTCACTCCTAAACTCCAGGCACCCCAGAATATTAAGCTTATTTTTGCATTTCTTCAGAGTATTGTTTCAGAGAAATACATTGAGGAGTTAAAGTTTTTGTTGTCTAAGGATAACTTGTTTCCATTATCCATCTTTTAAACTTTTTTATGCTACAGTCACACTGGAAAAGAAAATTGTTGGCGACTGCAATGAACAAGTGACCTCTCACAGTCAATTGTTTCAAAGCGACTCTGGTGCGTCCAGACAGCAATAAAACAGCAATAAGGCGGAGTCAGTCTGATGGCAGACTGAGAGCAGATTTGTGACTGAATGGGGTCAAGCTGGCAATTACATGCAATCTGTCTGTGATAATATGGCAATTAACTGTGATAAATGGGCAAAAATCACCAATCTGTTGCCATCTACTTATGACGAAGTTCGCATTAAACTTCTGAAGTCAGAGTCAGCAGGAGGAGTGGAAGACTTAATTCTGGGGATGCTGGTTTTGGGTTGCTGATGTTTCCTTTCCCAGTGTGCTAACCCTAACCTCAATCCTACCCAATGCTCTGGGAGAGCAGCACCAACCACTACTATACAATCAGTTGGCAAGCTGTTGACTTAAGTCCTCTGTTGCAAAAAGACATGTCGCAGCCAAATTGCACTCATTGGCGCAGATGGACTCAGATTGATTGATGTGTGTTCGCAATCCGTCTGCATTTATAAGTTACACAAGATTATATGCAAACCTTTGCCAGTCTTTGTCCAAGAGAGACTGCATTCAAGTTGCCCCATGATAGTTTGGAGACAGGTTGCCTCCCACCAGCTGATGTGTACAATCACCTTGAGACTGAAAGGAATCCCTGCAACTACTTGTAGCTGGTTCCTGAATGTGAAGAAATTAATTGTAATCACTGGGCAACCATCAATTTGTCCTAGCTGCAAACAGGTTGCTGTTCTATTCTGGTGTAACAAAGCCAGGAGTGGTCACATGAATCTAGGATTTCTAGCTATGATCATGTTCAGATTAAAAAGGGGACAAATATGGACTGGCAGCAGTCGCAGAATTTAAATGAAAAAACAAACAAACTATAACATATGAAAAATCCACCGAAGGTAAAAACATATAATACAAGCTGAAATCAACACAGCTGCTGTAGCCAAAGCAGCAGCCCGTGAGTGTGCATGGTAAGAAAAAGCATTGTACAATATGCATAGAATTATAAAGCACTGTATGAGTGCACTGGAAAAAGTGCTATAAATAAAGTCCATTTAAAGCCCGGAGGCAAGGCTGGCAGAAATGCTGACTGTGTCACTTAACAGGCTTATCAGCATCAGTGCCCCATCATTACATCAAGAGAAGATGTATCTGTTGTTTGGTATTTGTGTTAAATTAATGTCTTTCTTTAATGTATTGCTCCTGTGGCAACCCTGGCAGTACTAACATGAGAGCAAGCAAACAGCAAATATAAAATCATTCAAACTACTAAAAAGGTTTGCTTGCAAATTTTATAAAAGGTCAGCAATTGCAAGGCTTAGTTGCCCAGCCATTCATATGTTAGCCTGTCTGTGTTCCCCCGTGGGAACTATCCCACCACCATGACACTGAAAACCTATAGCAAAACCTGAAGCCACGTTGGTCACTAAAAGCCCTTCTGTGAATTATTTATTTACCCTCAAACTCATTAATTTTCAACTGACTGCTTTTGTAGAATACTTTGAGTATAAAACTTAATCAATTTATAAGCGAAATTAAATGCAGGACTTGTGCTCTACCTACAGCTATACCTATAAAGAAACATGCTATATACACACAGATTTACAAATAGATGTTTCCTGAATCGATGTTGGATGTATATATATAAAGTCATCAGTTGGAAAGGACAAATAAAATGATAATGTAAATCACCTTGTCAAAGTTTGTTCTAAACAAATGGCACATATCATTACTATATGACAACTAGTGCATGAACACACTCCTTAGACCCTGTAAGCTGTTGCTAAGATCCATCTGTGCTGTTGCCAAGGCAGGTAGCTGTTTGTTATTCCTCCACGTCATTGCGAGCTCTCTCAGGCAAACGGGGGTCACGCTGTCATCGTGTCCTGCCAACACAAATGGCTGGAGGAGTCTGCGTGAACTGTGCCAACCACTTCACTTACAGCCCTCTTCTGTGGTCCTCCCATATACACGGTGGTGTTCTTCAGCCTGCATGGAGAGGTGAAGTGAAATCAGCCTCCCACGGTCGTCTTTCAGGCTGAAGGTCTGTGTGGAGAAGTCTTTGCTATCAAGAGCAGAACTCGCACGGTGTGTCTGCAGGGACTACTGTTCATTAGACTGAACAGGCAGCCATACGCAGCACTTCACTGCAGATTACTGGAGTTCTCCAGTCACCTTAGTGATACAAACCAAAATAGCAACGTTCCTTACATCTGTTCAGCCATTTTTAAGGAGTGGATTCACACTACATCTCCCACACAAAATCAGGGGACTTGCAGCTTTGAAGAATTAATTAAAATTTCATTAGAAATGAAAGACCGTGCAGCTGATTCTGTCTTTGAAAACAATGTCCTAAATTACTCTGGATAATTCACAAACCCCACTTTCAGCATTTTCAGTAGGTGTACCTATTTTCTACCAAAGAAATAAATCCTTTCACAGTGGCCATGAAGCTTAAGGAAGCACTCTTAATCACTTTAAAGGTACTTTTGATTGTTTAAACTTTCTAAATGAACAAAAACTATGAGTCTCAGAATTATTTGAGATAGTGTTAGAATCTTTTTAAATTCTCTAAACACTTCATTTTCAAATAATTTTACTTTTCTGCCATTGATTTCATGGTTAGCGGTCTAAAATGGTCTTGAAGAAACTCACTGACAACAATACAATTACAAACAACATGAAATACAACTTGCTCTGCAGGAGACATTCTTTCTGTTGAAATATTGTGAATCCCAGTGCTGAATAATCCCATAGAATTCCCTGGAAAGAGGGATCATCCCTTTATAGTAGACATCTACCTGCCTGTGGTCTACCTAGCCTGTGGCCTCTCAATTAAATGCATCCAGAATACCTGAGAACTTCACTGCAAGTGTATACGAACACTAGATGATTCATACCGTGCCCAAACACATTAGACCCCCCCACACTCCAGTACGTGTGACTAGTGTGATCATTCCGTGCTGTGCCACGATGCAGTTAAGTGAACTGGGATCTGGTGAACATGGGTGTGGTTCAGTTGTACTGTGTTATGTAATCAATGTCTGCACCACATCACAGAACTCCAGTCATCCTCATCTACATCTGCCTCTGTAAAAGTCACATTAAGTAATTTACAAACATCTGAGCAGATCGCGTCTCACTGCTTCCCTAATTAAGTCATAAAAATCACAAACCTGGTGCTCTGCAAGATCATGTTTCAAGGGTGTAGTGATGGGATTTCCGGCTCTTTTTAGAGATCCGGCTCTTTCGGTTCGGCTCACTAAAAAGAGCCGGCTCTTTCGGCTCCGAACCGGCTCTTCAGGTTGTTTTGTTGCTTTAATTAATTTATTATTAACAATAATATAAAATTATGCACAAAAGGAATTACTAACATAAAAACAAGTGGTTTTATTTATATATGTTTATATATAAATATATGCGGTGGCCCCTAGAGACAAAACACGTACAAACTCCAAAACACATTTCTAGCATGAACTGAACTTCCAAAGCAGAGCTACTAGATCACTTAAATTACACAATTGAAAGCATGTGTGTATTGTTTGTGTATTTATACACAGGCACTCATATATATATTCAAATAATTTAAAAAAAAGTTCATTTACCTGTTATTACCACACACCAAATCCGGTCGTTGGTAC